TACAACATGTGTAGAGCTCTAGCTTATGAAAAATACCACATACATACTTCATTCCCCAAATTAAGAACAAAACTAGAGTATGCTTACAAGGGAGGCTTCATCACCTCCCTAGAAGAAAAGTTAGTTACCCATTGGAGCCTTAGAATGAAGAAGAAGCTTGAACTCCATCTCCAATTTTCGAGCTTCCCTTTGTTAGCTTGAAGAACTCCCTTTCCTTGCTCTCTTCTCTCTCCTCTATCTTCCCAAAATGAAGCATACCCAATGTGTGGCCTTTGGTAGCCTTTTATTCTCCAACAAAACCCTCTCTCTCCTCCAAGGAACACCTCCAACCACTTCATAAAGAAGGAAGATGGCATTGAGGAAACCAATGTGCAAGTGGCTAAAAATGAGCCATTTTCGAGTGCAATCTGCCTGATTTTCGAGCACTCGAAAAGTGGTCTCGAGCACTCTAAATTAGTGTAATGTGCAACATGCTCTTCTTGCTCAACGCTGACCTACTTTGGTAAAACTGCTATAACTTTGTACCCCGAACTCCAAATGATGATCTGTTTGAAGATTTGGAGAGCTGATTCAGTGCTTTAAAAACTTCATGTTTTGATAAAGACCCAATTCTCAAGTCTGGTTGGTTGAAAATGGGGAGAAAGGCAGTACTTCAGTGCTGCCGGGCAGTTCTGCGCACCTCTATTAAGAAGATCATAACTCTCTGCTCCGAACTCCGAATGATAACCGCTTGAAGATTTGGAAAGCTGATTCAGAGATCTAAATCTTTCATGTTATGATGGAAGTCCAGTTCTTGAGTTTACTAGGTCGAAAATGGCGACAAAAGTCAGGATCACTGCTGCCAGAAATTCAGAAATGGCATCCTTTTTGTTCAAAATTCCACAAGTCATCATTTTTGCTTCCTTTTTGCACTTTAACCTGAAAATGCATAAAAACATGCAAATGGAGTTAATCTACATAAAATAATCAATTAATGGACTTTGTTAATGTCATTTAGGGCACCTGAATATACAGTATTCAGCGCTTATCACCTTCGTGAGGAGCAAGATAGGAAGAACTCTTCCAAGGGCACCTACTATCATGATCCTAACTATGAGGTGTATACCACTGAAACTGAAGGGGAGTTTGAAGTAAACGTAGCCGAGCTCAACATAAAGAAGGCTTACACTTGTGAGGCCTTGACAAAATCGAAATCAGCCACGGCCAACTTGCAGGCCGCCTCTGGTTCCAAGTGGAAGGGGGCAGACTCTTCCAGAAGTTACACTTTTGACATTTCTAAAGCTGAGCAAATCTTTGATTTACTCATGGCTGACAAGCAACTAATTTTCACAGCGGGCCATAAGATGCCGTCGACTTCAAAAATGGCCGAGAAGGAGTATTGCAAGTTCCACAATTCGTGGAAGCATTCCACTAATAATTGTGTTATCTTCCGCAACATTATGCAAAAGGCAATCGAAGATGGCCATTTGAAGTTTCCAGAAAAATTAGAAGTCATGGGTGTTGATGGAAATCCTTTCCCCAAGGTTGTTGCAACAAACGTTGCCTCTATGGTTCCGGAGCCTTCCAAAAAAAGGTGGACTTGGTAAATCCAGCGCCCAGTGGAAAGTTGGAAATTCCAAAGGCGGCAACATCTATGGAGAAGACAGTAGCTGAGTTGGAAAGACAACTTCGAGAGGCCCAGATTGCTTTAATCCAACAAGATTGTTGCCCCAAGTGTAAAGTTCAGAATGAAGGTTGCCGTAAAGACTTTCCTACAGAGAAGCAGAATGAAAAGCTCTCCAATAGTGACCGGGGTCAGAAAAGGAAAGTCCATGACCGACTAACTTTCCAAAAAGTGGAAAACACAGTTACTGTAACCATTCCAGAGAAGAAAAGCCAGGTTCATCCAGAAAGGAAGGCAGTAGAGAGGAAATTTGAAATCCTTCCAAAGAGTGTGGAAAGGAATAGAATTTCCTATCAGCCAGGTTCTCGTCCTCACAGAAAGTTTGAAAGTAGTAGATGGCAAGACAGAGGTTCTGAAGGTGACAAGCATTCCAGGCCAAAAATGGCCTTGGAAGTATGGGTTAAAAGGGGGAGTGAGCATCTCCGACCAAGAATGGTTAGACCTCCTACCTATCAAGATGAGGGATGGAGAAGGCTTGATCATCCCAAGTTTCCCATTCATGATGACTCTTATATGACTCGCACACAAAAGCGAAGGCAGCAATGGAAGAGGGCTGATAGAAGAAGGTTATGGGAGAAAGACCATGGCTAGTCCAGCTGGCCAAAGAAGACTACGAAGCCGTCAGACTTATCAGAACTTCCAGCTAGAGGAAAGGAGAGAGATCCTGATGATTTGCTAGATCTTGATTCAGAGGTTGGAAATTCCTTGACTACAGACAATCCTCCTACGAAAGATAAAACAGATTTGAAAATTCCCAACAATTCTAGTAGCAGCAAGAAAATTTGTTTTGGGAGCCTTCTAGGTGAATTTACTTGCAATATGGTAGTGGTTCTTCCTTTGTTTTTTGAGCCTCAGCCAGATCAGCCCAATTCAATAGAAGGAGATGTAGTAGATACAAGTCCTCCTATGGAAAGTCTTGGACAGTCTAGTTCTGGGCCAACCATTATAGAACCAAATAATGGTATTCATATAGAGGAGGTCTTTGAAGATGAAGTTGAGCATCTCCAGAAATTAAAGGGGGTTGTGATTAAAGAGAACAGCCCCACGAGGCCAAAGAAAATTGTGTTGGAAAAGCCACCATAAGGCATGACTCAGCAGCTCAAAGCTTTGTACATCAAGGTGCTAGTGGAAGGAAGGCCCTTGGCAAGAGTTCTGGTGGACAATGGTTCGGTATTGAATGTTGTTCCAGTTAATGTCATGCGCATGCTTGGAAAGTCTCCTGAAGATATCATTCCAAATGATGTGTCCATTAGTGGATTCACGGGAGGAATAGTGAAGACGCAAGGAATCCTACCGTTGGAACTAACGGTGGGAGACAGAACTTCCATCACAGCCTTCTTTGTTATTGAGTCTACAGCGGCTTATAATTTACTCTTAGGCCACGAATGGATTCACCCAAATTTTTGCATTCCATCTTCGCTCCATCAAATGCTAATATTTTAGGATGGAGATGAGGTAAAAGTGGTGGAAGCTGATAGCCGGCCATTTGTGGCAAGAGTTTACCATACAGATGTTGAGTTGTATAGTGAAGAATTCGTTCCAATCAGATTTATTGGAAAGGATAGCAAGGGCAGTCCAAGGAAGGCCACTATGAGAAGGACTCTTACGGAAGAAGATGTAAGGGAGCTTTTCCAAGAAACACCAAGGCCAACAACTCTACCCAAGGCCGGTGTTTAGCAATACATTTTAAACAAAAGTTTTTATGGAAGAGAAACCTAAAGAAAATAGAATACTTGGCCAGGCGGTTAACTGCTGCCTTACCAGGTTGAAAGCATATCTAGCCGAACTACGGTTGGAAAGGGCTGCTGTTGCTGGTACTTCATTTTCAACCAATGTTTTGGAGATTATGGAAGATACTGAAAACAAGTTGGATGTTATCCAGCTGACAGACTTGAAGGCGGCGCCAACGAAGTTAGACGATCTCAAGGCCGAAGTATAAGATCCACTTTTAGAAGTTAATCTTGGAACAGAACAGGACCCTCGGCCTACCTACATCAGTAAGCTTTTGGAACTAATCTTTAGAGATGAATTGATTTCCTTACTTGAAGAATACAAAGATTGCTTTGCATGGACATATGAGGAAATACCAGGACTTTCCAGAGAGCTGGTAGAGTATAAGATGCCAATTAAGGAAGGTTTCAAGGCTTTCAAGCAGCCTCCAAGGAGGATGTCCCAGGAAGTTGTTCGAAAGGTCAAAGAAGAGATAGAAAGGCTACACAAGGCTGGTTTTATAAGAACCGCTAGGTATGTAGACTGGATTTCCAATATAGTTCCAGTTATTAAGAAAAATGGCAAGCTAAGGGTATGTGTGGATTTCAGGAATATCAATCTTGTAACTCCAAAAGATGAGTATCCCATGCCTGTTGCTGACCAGTTAGTAGATTCTACTGCCAAGAATGAAATTCTTTCATTCATGGATGGACATTCCGGGTACAACCAGATTTGTATTGCAGAGGAAGATATTGCCAAGACAGCCTTCAGATGTCCAGGTTCCATTGGAACCTTTGAATGGGTTGTCATGCCATTTGGGTTAAAGAATGTTGGAGCAACATATCAAAGAGCCATGAATGCCATATTCTATGACATGATTGGTCATTTCTTGGAAGTCTACATTGATGATGTGGTCATCAAGTCCTCGGCTAAAGATCAACATCTCCACAATTTGAAAATGGCTTTTGAAAGGATGAGGCAGCATAAGTTGAAGATGAATCCTTTAAAGTGCGCTTTTGGGGTTTCAGCTGGAAATTTCCTAGGTTTCCTGGCCCACCAAAGGGGTATTGAGATAGATCAAAATAAAGCAAAGGCAATTATTAAAGCAAAGCCACCGGCCACTAAGAAAGAGTTGCAGCGATTCCTCGGCCAGGTTAGATATTTAAGGAGGTTTATTGCCAACCATACTGGAAAGACTTATGCTTTCTCCCCTTTGCTGAAATTAAAGGGTGCTGAGGAATTCAAGTGGACAGAACAGCACCAGCAAGCCTTTGAAGGTTTTAAAAGCTACCTGGCTAACCCTCCAGTACTGATGCCTCCAATCAAGAAGCGGCCTTTAAGATTATACTTATCGGCCGCTGACGAGTCCATTGGAACTCTATTAGCTCGGAATAATGAATGGGGGAAAGAGCAAGCCATCTATTATCTAAGTAGGGTGCTCACTCCAGTGGAATGTAGGTATACTTCCATTGAAAAGTTGTGTCTTTCTTTATATTATGCGGCTATGAAGTTGAGAACCTATATGTTGCCAATGGCCGTATTTATCATTTCTCAAACAGATTTGATTAAGTATATGCTTTCAAGGCCTTTGATCACTGGACGTATTGGAAAGTGATCATTGGCCTTAATGGAGTTTTCTTTCAAGTATATTCCACAAAAGGCAGTCAAAGGAAGGGCGGTAACAAAATTTCTAGCATATCATCCATCTACTAAGATAGATTCAGAAATATGTGATAAGGTGGATAATCTCTATCTTGACTACACACCTTGGACTCTCATATTTGATGGATCAAGCACTCATGATGGAGGTGGAGCTGGAATAGTCATCATTTCTCCGAAAGGAAGGAAAACCAAATTTTCTTTCTTCTTGGATTTCAAGTGTACAAACAACCAAGCTGAGTACGAGGCACTAATTATTGGGCTGGAGATTCTGCTAGAGCTAAAGGTGGAGAAGGTCCAGATTATTAGAGATTCTAACTTGATACTTAGCCAACTATCTGAAGAATATAGATGTCTTAACTGGCGTCTAAGGCCTTTCCACTATTTGGCCTTAGATTACTTTGCCAGTTTGATGATTTCCAACTCGAATATTGGCCTAGACATTTAAATACGGAGGCTGATGATCTAGCACAATTAGCCTCTTGAGTGAAAGTCCCGCCGGGTGTAGAAGAAGCTCTGATCACAGTTAAAAGAAGAACTCTTCCTTCGGTAAAGTTATGGTATGAGATGGCAAGTCATGACGATGGCCGTTCCAATACGCCAAACTAAATGTAGTGAATGTGTGGTTCAAGAAAAGCCTTTTATGTCAAATTTAAATTTATAAAAACCACTACCAACACCACTACTAACGTAGCAAGAGTGAGTAGGGATCGTCCCAAGGGATCATACGTGTTGGAATTTCAACTTCGACTCTAGCGTACCAAATGATTGCAAAAGAGAGTTGGGTTGGTTGATTACTTCTAGAAAAGAATTAATTAAAATGCAATAAAAATAAAACTAAGTAGAGATAGGGATTTAAGAGATGAGAAGAGAGGACTTAGGGTGTTGGAATCACCACTAAGCTCATGTAATTAACCACTTGCTTTCCATTAATGGGGAATACATTGTTGTGAACAAAATTGGTTCGACTAGCAAAGGTGACTCAACAAGTGTATAATGTCTAAACAACATGTGAAAGGCCACAATATATCTATTGGAAGAGGAATATATTGTCTAGACAACATGTGAAGAGAACAAAATATCAAATCAAGTCATTAAACATTTCATTAAGCTCATAGTCCAAATAATTCACAAGGATGACTTAGTTAAACATGTATTGTCTAAACATCATGTGAGAGGCCACAATATATCTATTGGGAGAGGAATAAATTGTCTAAACACATGTGAAAGATACAACATATCATAACTAGTCATTAAGCTCAAAATTCCATTACACCACAATATTAGAGCATATGCTTCTTGCATTCAAAAGCATGGAACATCAAAGAACAAGCATGAATTGTCTCCCCCATCTAACACTACACTACAACTACATTACTAGCATGAAAATAAACTAAGGGAGAGGCACAATCCATCAAGGAATAAGTATGAACCATTAAGAGACATAACAAGAGCATTCCATTAAGCACTAATGTCTAGCCATCACTAGATTCTCAATTAACCACACATAGACATGCAATTAATATAGAAAAACTAGTGTAGAGATCAATTCCCCAAATAATCATACATAAGACAACATGTAATTAAAATAGAGAATCAATGGAAGAATTAACCCATATGAATCATGTGAGACATAATTCCTAATTTAATCACACATAGACATGTAAATAAACTAGAGAATTAATAGGAAGAATTAGACCATGAAAATCATAGAAATATACCAAGATTCATGAAATTCACAAGGCTAGAACACTAATCACAACAATATATATATAAATCCCCAAAAATAGAAATACAAGGGTTTAGATTACACAAGACTTAGGGCTCATTCAAGCACTAAGTGTAGATCTAGTCAATCATGGAGGAGGTGGATGTAGTCATGGAATCAAGCTCCAAACATGGCTCCATCTTCTTCTTCCTCTTCTTCTTCTTCTTCTTTGAAGCTCTAGAGATGGAAAGATAGTGGATTTAGAGATATATTCTTGAGATGTGCCTCCACTTCTCTCTTTTCTTCTAACCTTAATCTCTAACTTTTCTAGAAAAATAAAAATTACAATGTAGAAAATAAAAATGATAAAAAGCCTAAAGAATCCCCTTTTACAAATGGGTTGCTTCCCTTTATATAGAAGGTCATTTTCTTAGTCACTAAGTCTAGAATATATGCCCAAAAATATCTAATCCCGCAACTTTTTGGTAGGTGAACTTTTGGACGCGCACGGAAAAAGTGACAGCTTGCTGCCAGCATGTCCAGTTCGATCGATCCAACTTATTTTCGATCGATCCAACTTTTTCGATCGATCCAACTTATTTTTCGATCGATCCAACTTTTCTGATCGATCTAACTAAAAGTTCGATCGATCCAACTTTTTCTGCGATCCATCCAACTTTTCAGCTTTTCAGTATCAGCTTCTTTTTGCTCCAAATCAGCCTCTTTTTGCTCCGGATCATCGCTAAGACTTAGTTTGACTCCAAAAAGGCCTTAAGAACTCATTTTTAGCCCATTTTAACATTATTAACCTGAAATAGACAAAAACACAAATAAGTACTAAAACGGGTAAATAAGATAGATAAAGGTCCTAGAATACTCAAGCTTAAGGGGTTTAAATGTATACTTTTCAGCGCTCATCAAGTCATTTCCAATCTGAAGAGCCAAAAAGAGTCAAACCTGCCAATAAGCCATAGGAGGTTTTCAATATTGATATAGATGGATTAGATTTGGATGATTGGAGAACACTAATTATCCAATTCCTGCAAGAGCCTAGATCTAAGGTGGACAAGAGAATTCAGCTTTTGGCGCCACATTACATTCTGATTGATGGGGACCTCTACAAGAAGAGTAAAGAAGATGGACTTTTGTTAAGATGCCTTGGAAAGGATGAATCCATGAGGGTAATGGCGGAAACACACCTTAGAATATGCGGAGCACATCAAGCTGGAATCAAGATGAGGTGGCCCCTTAGAAGGTATGGTTATTATTAGAAAGGCATATTGAAAGATTGCATAGAGTTTGCCAAGACTTGTACTGCATGTCAAGAACATGGCCCGATCCAAAGAGTTCCAGCTTTTAATATGCAGCTGATAGTAAAAATATGGCCATTTAGAGGGTGGGCTTTGGACTTTATTGGAAAGCTAAGGCCTCCATCTTCAAATGGCCATACTCAGATAGTGGTGGCAACAGATTATTTCACAAAGTGGGTGGAAGCCATTCCACTAAAGACTTGTGAGCAGTCAACGGTGATTGATTTTATCAAGAAGCACATTATACATAGGTTTGGAATTCCAGAGACTATCACCACTGACAGAGGTCTTTCCTTTGTTGGAGGCAAGGTTTTGGATTATTGTGCTGAGTGTGGTGTACAAGTGATCAGCTCCACTCCATATTTTGCCCAGGTAAATGGACAGGCAGAAGCTTCCAACAAAGTAATTCTCAACATCCTTGAAAAGATGATTGAGGATTATCCAAGGGAGTGGCATCACTTGCTTTCTGAAGCTCTTTGGGCCTACAGAAATTCAAAAAGGTCAAGTACAGGCGTCACACCATATGTGCTTACATATGGACATGATGTTGTCCTTCCAATGGAGATGACTATCAGGTCTGCAAGGGTGGCTTTCCAAAATAGGCTAACTCCAGCAGATTACAGTTATGCCATGTTAGCAGAATTAGAAGACCTTGATGAAGTTTGCCTCAATGCTCTAGATAATATTATTGCTCAAAAGAAGAAAGTCATGCGGGCATACAACAAGAAGATCAAGGCAAAGACATTTGTAAAAGGAGACTTGGTATGGCAGGTCAAATTTCCACCTGGAGTTAAAAGTTTGGAGTATAGAAAATGGACTCCTAATTGGGAAGGTCCTTACTTGGTAGAACGAGTCATTGGAAAAGGGGCTTATAGATTGATGGATATAGATGGAGGGTCTCATAGGCATCCTGTGAATGGTCTGTACTTGAAAGAGTACCACCCTTCTATCTATGAAAACTGGAAATCCACAATCATTCAACCGGGCATGTAGAATGGCTGGTATCTTCCTTTTCAAGTAAACCGAAAAGTTGGAAAGGAAGCGTAATGACCATTCGGCCATTCCAAAAAGGAAAAGCTAAGTACTTGGAAAAGTACATTGGCTAAAGTTATGAAGCGGACTTAGCTGAATTTCCTAGATCAGCTGATTTCCTAAGTATGGAAGACTTCATTGAGGAACTGGCTACACTACGTGTTCCAGGTTTTGATCATACTGGAAATTGTTCATCTTGCTTGTATATACATGCATTTCCGTTATGGCAATTTCTTTTATTTCTTTGAATTTCCTTTGTTATGGAAAGCCAATTATATGGCTATGCCTTATTGAAAATATATGTGAAGAAGTTTTCCAGTTTCAGTGACTTAGAAGTTTCTTTTCCATATAAATTGTGAAAGAGGCACATGCAAAGGGTTGGGAAATAGAGCGTTATCTCATTAGATAGTGGATTTCATTACAAAATTCAAAAATGGCCACCTAAACCTAGGATTGGCCATGCAAAAGTACCCATTACTTATTTCCTATCCACAAGTTTTCCAAAAACAACCACGCGATAGAACCATAAAGAGAAACACATGAGATCAGATAGAGGCAAGAACACCTCCAAGTTCATTCCAAATTTTCCTTACTTCTTCAAGAACAGCCACTGCTCTAACCCTTGCATCCTCAAATTTAGGAAAGGCTTCAACTCATTTTTCCCATTCTTTCCTTAAAGGTTCGGACGCATTGACAAAGGCATTAGCTGTTTGGTCCAATTCAAGTTCTTCACGTTCCACTTGTTCCAATTCCCTTTGAACTTTGGCCAGTTCTTCATTCAGTTCTTCTATCTTGATCATAAGCTTTTTAGCCCGATCCTTGATTTTTGGGTAGGATTCTAAGGAGAGTTGAAAATCCTCAAGAGCTTTATCTCTGAGCTTGGCTTCCTTTTCATACTCGGAAACTATAGAAGTACTGGAGCTCACATGGGCAACAATGAATTGGAGTTGGTGTTGCAGCTTGGTCAAAGAAGCCTGGATGGAATCAGGAAATTTTGAATGTTTTTTGAGGGTCACAATAGTACTGGCTAGACTTGAGTGGAAAGAGACTACATCCTCCACATCGTGGGCAAGATAAGACAGCAACTTTTCTTTAGCCATCGTGATAGCATCATTTGAAGGTCCTAGAAATATGAGGACACTTGCACTTGAAGTAGAAGTACTGGAAGATTTAGTGGCCTTGATCACTTTGTAAAGATCAATTAAGGCTGGAAGGGCTCTCCTTTGTATCATAAAGGAGGTTGAGGTAGATAAGGAAGGAGTTGCCTGAAATGGAAACAAGTTTCTATTAGATAGAAAGAAAGAAAGGAGGCAAAGTGTAAAGGAATGAAGACTTACCTCTGGGATGGAAGAAGTATGACCAGTAGAAGTTCCACCAGTTCTGGAAGGAATGGATATTCCAATAGTGGAAGTTGGAATGGGCTGACTTTTCTCATTCTTTATGGTCAAACTCTCCATAATTGAAGCTTGAAGGGCCAAATCCTCTCCTTGTGCAACTTGTTAATCCAGGTGGATGTTCATGAAATTGTGTCCCATAGTAGAGCCCTATTGGTCAAGTTGAAGTTACAAACATTTTAAAATATAAAGTAATGAGATGGAGAAGGATAGGGATTGAGACTTACCAAAACAAGCTCTTTGGATGACTTTGGTTTCTTGTGTTTTAAGGAGTCTCCGGTTTGTTTGAACTCTTCTGTTTTTTCCAGTTCAGGCATGATTTTCCTTTTAGCCTTTCCAATAACTTTTCCGGAAGGGCTACGCATTTTTAGGGCTTTACTGGAATGTTGAGTAGTGGTTCGCCCTTTGGAAATGCTAACTTCACCATCAGAAGAATCTTCATCAGAAAAGGATAGTTGGGCCTGAAATTCCTTTTTGACAATGGCCAGTCCCTGCAAGAGGAAGAATAAGTAAGGTCTAGAATATGGAACGGTTAAGTTCAGCCACATTGAAATACCTGAGAGGTTTTTCCTTTTCCCTTTGCCTTGTATAAAGCATCCTCATCTTCCTCTTCCACTTCTTCTTCCTCCTCTTCATCATCACTTGAGGAAAGACTTTCAATACTTACATCACCACTTTCTGCTACACCCTCAATTTTACTAGCCATTGTGGTGGTTTTCTCTCCACCTTCTTCCTCTTTACTTTCTTCGAGTATTTCCTCTTCTTCATCTGAAATTAACCAAGTCTCAGTATATGGAAGGTTGATGGATTTCAAAAAGGAATGGAATTTACAGTAAATACATTAATACCTGGACACAGAGGCTTGAAAGATGCCAGTATGGAATCACAGACAGCCTTATGATTCTTGGTTCGGGTGGAGGAGATATAAGCTGACCACCATACATCGAATTCATTGGTTGATTGAGGCTTGCTAGTATGGCCTTTGAAATTAAAAGCTGTTCTTTCTGCTGCGTAGGCTTGGTCAATCGCTACAAATTGTTCAGTATCAGTAAGACGAACACGTTGGTAAAAGAATCTGTTGTAAGATTTGTAGGGTGGCAAAGGAATCATTTGGGTAAAGCCCATTTGCCTTACTAGTTGGGCTGGGTTGTAGAACTCAACTCCACAGAAACTATTCTTCAAAGTTAGTTGAACAGTGCTGTAATGGAGGTCACGAGCAATAAGGAAGCTGGCCTAAATATTTTTCCAATCTTTAGAATATTTCTTGGTGGATACTCCGGGAGATGGAACCAACCATGATGGCATGCGACCAATGGCAGTGAATGGATCAAAGAACTCATCGTTTCCAGTCTCACATTGATAGTGGAAATGTTCAAAGTTTTCAGCAAAGCTGAAAGGAGAGGGATCTGCGGTTGCCAAAGAATGGCACAGAAGGGATTTTCTAGTTGGGGTGACTAGGGGTGAAGTTCTGTTTTGGAAGTACACTTTAAGCTACATTTGGAACAACCAGAAAGGGCCTTGGAACCTTGAAAACCTGGAAGTAAGGAGATCGTAAAGACCTCTATATAAATGAGAAAGTACAAGGGGAGCTAATGCTAAGTCTCCATTTCTGGCTAGGGAAACCGCCACTTGAACAAAGTCTTTTGTGACTTGGCCAGATGGAACGCATAGCAAGTGGCCAGAAAGCCAACAAATCAGGAAAGCAATGTGTTCATCTTCTAGAACTGGGCCAGTTTGCTTACAGTGTTTAATAAAAGAGAGATGGGAGGAGATAAACTTCTTACTTCCAGTGGTCTTGGTTGGAAAGAAGAATTGTTCAACAAAGAGAGTGGCACTTACGTCATCTCCATGAGGCTTAAAACCTGTGATGCAACAAATATCTCTCAAAGTGGGAGACATTGTGACGACCCTGGTTTTTAAACCAGCATGTCCTGTGATGAACCGTAAGGATGATCCAATAACGGATCCGAATGCGGAAGCGAAAATAGAAAATAAGACTCTAAGAAGTCAAAGTGACCTTCCATGAGGTCGTGCAACTCAACAAGAACTGATGCGGAAGCAAAAGATCGAAAATATGGCAAATAAGCCCCCAGGGGCAAAATAGTCATTTTTGAAAATTATAGATTCGGGTGCCACCGAGCACACCGCTAGAAGGACAACAAAAAACTAATCAAGATGGACTCAAGAATCGCATGATTCAGAGTCCGGACGAAGGAGAAACGGCATGACGAAGAAAAACGAGCACTTAAGGCAAAAAGGGTAAACTGGTAATTATCTAGGAAGAACCAGGTGCAACCGAGCACACTGTTGGAAAGACAGCGAAAAATTAGTCAAGTTCAAAAAAAAATTCACTTAAATCAGAGTCCGAACGAAGGAGAAAAGCCCAAAAGAAGAATTGACGTCACATTTGCCCAACGAAGGGCTATGCCAGCCCCATGCGCGCGCCCATGCACGCCGCGCGTGCGCTGAGTGCACCATGGCTGGCAGCAGCAGCCCATAAAGCTGCTGTGGGGTTATTTTTCAGAAAAATCCAGAACAGAGGCTGAATTTGGAGGCCTAAATGAATTTTTTTGCAAAAACGCAGAGAAGAAACCCCTCAAAATTGAGTTTTCTACGTGACTCGCGAGGAAAATCGAAAAATACGCATTGTGAAATGCCCAAAATGCCCCTCCATGAAAACTGGTCCAGAGGATCCAAAAAGCTGCTAAATTGAGAAACTGAGAGCTGAACTTCGTAAGCGATTTTTGATATCAAGACGACATTTTCTGCAAAAACACGGAAAAGAAACCCCCCCTAAAATCATGTTTTCTATTCAACCATGTTGAAAAAAGAAAATAAAACCACCGTGAAAGGTCTATAATGCCCCTAACTCAGAATATGCAAAAAAAGTGCGAAATGAATTCACAAGAGGCTCAAAACACAAACGATAAGGTTTTGCTCGGAAACTACCATGCACGCAAACGTAACTTACCTATTTGGACGTGCTATAATGGTCCACGACTTAAAAATACCACCGATACAAAATCCGACCCCCCCAACGGGCAAAAAGGCAAAAATGGAACTTGGAATGAAAATTCAAAATCCAAAAATACAAAACGGGGTCAAATGACCGTTTAGCCCTTGGCCACACTTCATACAAGATTAATAAAACCCTATGAAAGAATGAGAATGGAATTCCCACACCCGATGCAACCATGGTGAAGCAATGACTTGCGATTTTTCAAGATTTTCACAATATTTCATGAAGTTAAAAAGTGCATAGAATATAATGTACATGTCATTGGCCTCCGGCCTCATCTCAAACATATCAAATACATTGAAAGGAATGTACTTAAGTACACATTACATACATGGAATCAAATATACATATTTTGACATATAAGTCTACAAAATGACATTTCATGCCAACATTTGCATGAAATGGAAACTCGAAAGCTACACGACATCCAAGGAATACTAGGCGTCATGAACCAAGTCTTCGTACCTGAAATATGCCCCAGTATCGTAGGGGTGAGTAACATAAAGTTACTTGTGGAAGATGAACATGCATCGACCTAACATTTTACA